ACACAAAATAACAACAACAAAAAAACAGGCAAAACAACCAAGTAGAGACACAAAATGTCTAAAAAAAATGACACACATAAACAAAAATAAGACAAGTTACTTCAAAGAGACACAAAATTACACCATTAAGACACAAAATTACCACAAGGAGACACAAACTGACTACACACAATGCAACAAAAAAGGACACACAACTACTATAAAAAGATGCAGAACGACTACAAAGAGACGCAAAACCACCACAAAGTCTGCAAGTCTTGCTCCTATGTAGGAGAGGTGGTGGGCCCCTCTGCATATCTGTGCCCAGGGGCCCATTGTCTCATCATCTGCCCGTAGTTGGATCTTTTTATTGATGTTTGGCTTGAAATGTATGTAACACAACAGGTGTTTTACACATGCATATTATGAATAAAAAGATCAGAAAAACTGTCTGTTACATCACAGAGGCCTTGATTCACACCCCCAATATCAGGTCAGCTAGGCCACTATAGATAAATATCAATCATTAATAATAACTATGAAAGATAGATTTCTTATTTTGTATTAAAATGTTTTATTTTGTTTTTGTTTTGATCTTAATGTTATGTATGTTGTAAAAATGTAATGTAAAAAAAAATGAAGATGCGCGGTATTTTTATAAGGTCTACTCTACCGGCTAATTCTGGTGGTTTGCAGCGCCAAAGTGGACTGTGATTGGTTTCTAGACACGCTTCAGCATTTTTGATTGGACAAGCGATGTTCGGGGATCGTCGCTTCTATTGGCCACTCCAACAGTCCGGCTCAGCGCTGATTGGTTGAATTCACGGGCTGTAGAGTCCGGCAAAGTGTCGAACCGAAGATTGAAGTGAGGAGGAAGTACTTTTTAAAATGGAAATACAGCAAATGATACTTTAACTTTCTACAGCAGAGCGGAGGGAGAAGGTGAGCGGACTCTTGTGGTCACTGTGTTGTCCGGTAAAGGAAACGTTATGTGTTTACAAACAGCATCGCCTGTCTGTCTGTCTGCATGGACGGATAACGTTACTTATTAATCCGTGTACAGTTGGAGGAGAGGGTCAGTGTGAAAGCTACTCTGGTGATGCCTCAGCGTACATAATGGCACTTAAACGCGTATTATATTGTTAACAACCAACTACACGCAGAGAAAATACCTGCCATTGAATAAACTTAAACATTGTGACAGTGTGATGTGATGAGCAGTCATTCCCTCGCTGTGTGGGTTCAATTGTTAGCTAGTGTTGCACTTGACTTCACTGGGCTTTATTTGCCGCTAATTTGACATGAAAACGCAACAACGAGTCTCGGTTAATTTCTTGGGGGTTGTATGTGAATGTACTGACAGGATAAATGGCTTCAGGCTCAGCTCAGGACGTTAGTTTGGTGTAAATACACCGACGGGTTCATAACGTTCACCGTCTTACTGTATGACATCACGGAAGCTGCCAGTGGTCAAGTGCGCAGATTAAAATGAGTCATCCGGTAAGGTATCAAAATAAAAACCCTGTAAATGAGTGTAGCAACATCTCGGAGAAAATAAACAGTTTGTATTTTCAACTTTTTAATTATTTTACATAGAGCGTCACCAACGTTGTGTAAGGTAGAATATGTTTTGCTTATTCTTTTGCATTTCATCAAACAAAGTCGGGTAACTTCCGGTCGTGTGCTGTGTTCTATTCCAGCTGACTTGACAGAGATACGGAAGTCATACGGTAGCTCGGTGTCCCGCGGGCTTTCCACTGTAAGTATATTCACATTAATGTCTGTCTGCACAACAAGCTACAAGTCACAAATAAAACGAGAACAGACCAACATGGGAATATGTTTTCCCCTCTGTCTGCTTTCTGTGTGCTTTCATGTGGCATTGGTTACTATTATTGCCACCCAGCTGCAGTGTTGTCATTTACCAGTGTCACCCATAATGAGTAAGTAGTAGTCGTGAAATCAAGGAAATCAACATTGTCAGTAAAGACGGTTGCGTTTCATTTAAATTTGCTCTGTGTACAGAAGAAGAAGAACCTAAAATAGCTATTTTAAATCTAGGCTCCCACTGCATTTCTCCAGTAGTGGACACATACATTGTTCTATTTTACAAGTATTGCAACTGTGATATAAATGGCAATACTTCCTCATGCAGCTATTTTATATGTTTCTATTTTAAATAAGGACATCCAAAACAAAATGGTGGTTAAAAACATTTTTTTTAAATCAGCAAAGAAATCTTTCTACGTTCTTTGAGGGGAACACTACCTAAATTAAGAACTCAAATATGTTAACTTATTTCCATGGCCTTGGAAAGTTCAATCAGTTTTTATGAACATGAGCTACTCTCTCTCTCAGCTTGAAACCGGAGAAGTAAGTGTCAGACTTGTGATGTCATCAAGTATAAAGACTGGAGCTGTCCCATGGACAATGAATAAGAGACTGATTTTGTGGACCCACAGAATGTGTGTTTATATCCATTCATTTATTATTTCAGTATCTGTAACTGCGTATCCTGGTACAGGGTTGCCGGGGGCTGGAGCGTATCCCAACTGATACTGGGCGAGAAGCGACGTACACCCTGGACAGGTCGCCAGACTGTCACAGGGTTGACACATAGAGAGACAGACACCCATTCATGCTCACATTCAAGCCAACACTTTTGGCAAACACTATCACCACTGTTCACCAGAATGACAGATGAGATTAAAAAAATATCACCATATCATATGAACACAGTACTGATTTCTGTACTGCTTAAAACAAATAAGGACCCTACTCACTGTACTAGTCTCAGACCCATTTCCTTGATTAACACAGATATCAAAATCATCAGCAAAGCACTGTCAACCTGACTTGAATCAGTTATCTCATCCCTCGTTCACCCAGACCAAACAGAATTTATTAAAGGCAGACTTTTAATAATCATTTATTTAATGGATCACAACATTCTACAACACTCCAAGGGCAGCAGTTATGACTAACAACCTCATTTCACAAAGTTTCACACTCCGTAGAGGCACCAGACAAGGATGTCTGCTCTCACCCTCACTGTTTGCACTTCTTATTTAACTATTAGGAGCAGCATTATGTCAAAACAGCAACATTACAGGTATCCGCACCAATAACATAACGCATAAAATTATCTTATATGCAGGTGATGTACTCATATACTCAGAACATTCCCCTCTACAACGTCTTTCCCAATTTGTAGTCTGTGGAGCAGCTCCAGACTTTATATTTGATGATATCACAAATCTGAGTTTAAGCATTTGGGAGGGTTGTTTATGATAATTAAAATTATCAAGAAAAATAATAAATGTAATCAAGTGATCTTAATTAGAATATTTACTAATGGTAAACATTTTTTGTACTATGTGATATTCAATAATCAATGGAATAGCTCAGCAAGAGAAAGAACAAGTTTTGGTTGACTTATAAACCTTTACCTTTGTGGTATAGTTAAAGTGTGTCTACATGTTTCGAAGCCAGGCCTGTCCACCCAACCGCCTGTGACGGTGCCGGAGGACGAGATGGAGGCAGCAGGAGAGGCACAGCTCCCTGAGGCCAACGGGGTGGTGGAGAAACCAAGAGAGGATGGTGGAGGTGCAGGAGGAGAGGAGACCATGGAGGAGAGCACGGAAGAGAGGGAGAGCGACTTGGATGATAGTGAAGACGAGGAAGAGGAGGAAGAAGAGGAGAGTTCGGGTAAAATCCAAGAGCTTTGCGGAATTGTTGCCTGATTAGATGCAATGTCTCTGTTTTTCACTGTTTGTGTCTTGTCTCCTTCGTGAAGAGATGGACGATGAAGACTGTGAGCGAAGGAGAGGAGAATGTATTGATGAGATGATGGATCTGGAAAAACAGTTTCATGAGCTGAAAGAGACGTAAGTTGAAACATAATCTCAGTAGTATGAAGAAAAGCAGAAAAAAAAGAAGGAAAGACTGACTGCACCGTGTGATTACAGGTTGTTTCGGGAGCGGCAGAACCAAGTGAAAGTGAAGCTGGACGAGGTGCTGACAGGGAAGGCTGGAGAATACAGAGAACCACTGATTGCACTACAGGACAGCATGCAGATACGGACACAAGTAGCTGGTAAGTGAAAACACACACACGGAACCCGACATGCTCAGATTTTGAACAGCCCGAGTTTGTATCTCATGGCGTACAACACTACAGTTTCCTTTAACCACAGTGGAATGATGTTCAAATTTATAGTTAATGTGTGACTTTTTTTGGATGAATGTCACCTGCACACAATATGCATCCCAAACAGACCTGAAAAACTTAACAGGAGATCTGTTACAGTTTGCATTGTATTACTTTTGTCATACATTTTCCAGCACACAAACTGGACTTTACATCTTTTACAAGGTGTGTGTGTTTTCTCAAGTCTAACGTAGCATGATATAGCTTCTGACCACTAGGTGGGGCTGTTTGACAAACATCAGTGTCTCAGGCAGCTTGATGGGACTCCAGAAGTCCCCCTGTGCTAAATATAATCTGCA